GCTCATCTTCTTTAATTGGTTTGCATGTTGAAGAGTCCTAACCGCCCCCTATAGAATACCTAGAGAAGTTCAACAATACCTGAGCGCCCAAGATCAGATCAAAATTGAAGAGTCCAACTTGACTAGAACTCTTCCCCATACTCCAATTCTTCCTGATTTTGATGCCAAAACATAGATCACCCTCCTGATGACTAGACTACACCAAAAAATCCAAGAACTGGGCAATCTGAAATAGATCGATCAACCCTTTATGCAATCGGCTGATTTAGGACTGCATGGAAAAAACTCTAAGAAACCCTAGTCGAGCTTCGATACCAAGTAGAAAAGTGCTGAAATAAAAAATCTGTAAAAGAAAAGATTATTTCTTGTAGAAGAAGAGAAGAAAGGAGAAAAGGAAGAAAAGAGATTTGAGAGAGAAAAGGGGGCAATAATGCTGGCCGCCCTCTTCACTATTATTTATAGTCTAAAATAATAAAGAGTACAAAGACCAATATACCCTTATAGGGCGGCTAACACATAAAACAGCATAAAAAAATTAAAATAACTGCTCAGAAAGGACCCAACAAGAGTGCTGTGGTCCCCACTTTCTATCTAAATAATAAATAATCAAAAACTACCACTATAGACAACACAATTTGTCGAAAACCTCAACAATTCTGAACCCAATTCACATTTAACTCACCTTGTTTCAAATTTGAAATTCTAATGGTGAATTGGTGATTATTTTTTGGATCTCCTCCGATTCTCTATCCTTCAGAATATCAGTTTCTTTACCAGAAAACTCTTTCCTCAAGTTATTATTTTGCTTAACTGTCCATCGGAAAACACAGGTGCAGCTTTCATCTTTCCCATTCCTTGTAATTGTCTGACCATAGGTTTTCGGATTAGTATTCTTCTTAACCGTTAAACTTGTAAAACTATGGGTAATGCCATCTTCATTCTTATCCCCGGCATGTTTACTGGAAGCTTAGACATTTTGAGTTTATTTTCCTTTAAATCCCCAGTCAGATTACCCATTAACTTCAATACATGGTTTGCAGAGGGTAAATAAGTATTTGGACATCTCCTGACTTCGAGCAATTCTTGTTACTTCCAATTTCCTTTATAGATAACATTTGATGTGTACAAACAACATCTTTCACCTTCATATTTCCAGATGCATGATAAAAGTTCTTAATTTTGTTGCATATCTCACTAAATCCTACTCCTCCCACCCTCATCTTGATCTGAGCTGAGGTGTGTTTTTCGATTTATGGAAGAGTCCTTGCCTGGTTTATTATAGGAATGAGTTCCTTTACTCAACCAAGAATATTGTCCATTTCTGGATGTTAGGTCCACTCCTCTAGCCATTTCTATGTTTAAAGCCACCTTCTTTCTTTTCTTTTTCTTTCCTTTGATCCCCATGAAGCTTTTCCTTAAAAAGGACCAGGATTCAAGTTTCAACCTAACAAGAAAAGCGCCAGTTAGCAGACTCTAACACTAAACAAAAATGAGGATTAAGAAAACAAGAAGTACCACAGAAATAGCAAAGATTTCTAAGAACTTAAGCAGCCTAAGAAAACTACATATAAGACAAATAAATAAATTATGAAAATGACAGATAAGTGTAAGAGAGAACTCCCTATTCAGTGTTTCATGTTTGAGGATCATCTTCTTCGTTCATCCTTGGTTGTGGTACATTGAGCATCTTCCATGCTTTCAGTAGTCCATTCCATCCAGCTTCCAGGTCATCAGTGGTTATTTTATACTTCCATGGACAACAGCAAGAAGCAAATTATATTAGGGAATCATTGATCAAATTACTAGCAGGATGCTTTGTGGGGTGTATTGGGTTTTGATTTTTATGTTTTGGGAGTTTTTTAGCCTCTTTTTTTGAAGGTTGGCTCACCTCATTTTGGGGTCCAGATTTCTTTGTAAATTGTAATTTACTTTTGCATTTTGATTTAAATGGTAAGTGTGCTGGAGATGCAAGGAGCTCTTTTTCCCTTTGTCCACACAAAATGGTTTGGCTTCATGATTGTAGCCTTGCAAGGAGAGATGCAACCCATCTCACATTTCCCAGAGACTAATTAATTATGTCATCTTGAGGTTGCAACCTCTGAACCAGGGGAACATTTAAAGTGTTTGAAAGTTGTTGGTGCCTTTTTAGCTAATATCTGGTTTTTTATCACTGATCATTTATAATTTGCTTGATTTTGAAGCAGCCAATCAACCTAAATCTTAAGACCAAACAAATTTTCCATTTTCTAGTTTCTGTGCAAATTACCCATCTTACTACAGATGTGAACAATTCTTTCATCCTTCTGAATTGCTATGACACAAGCAACACTTTCCCATTACTGTTCCCAATGCTAAAGATTTTTTTTCCTACTGGTGTCTTGCAGACAATTTACTTGAGATATTTTTTCCAAATAATATGACATCATGCATGAAAATACATCACTCAAGCCACAGCTGAGAACCATTCATTACTAAGCTGGATTGGAGACACCATAGTTGTCAAGGCAACTAGGTGATTCTGAGTTGACACTGGGGCGCCTAGGTGTTGCCTTGGCGATAAAAATTTTATAATATAAAGAACTGCTATAACTAAGGCAGGCGTTTTGATCTTTCAAGGCATAAGGCTCCCACCTTGTCATTTTTGTCGCCTAGGCAGGCGCTTAGTTGCCTAGTTGTTATCACTCAAGGCATTTGAGCAAAGTGCCCAGCCAAGGGCACCTAGTCACCTAGGTGACACCTTGACAACTATGGGAGACACATAAGCAAAGTCCTTAGAAACAGAGGCCCAGGAGCCAATTCTACCAAACACAGTATTGATCAGTTTTCTCCACACACCTAGACCAGCTGGAAAACATTTTCTGTTTCATTTAGTCCAACTGGTCCAGATTATAGCTGCAGGGACAAGCTGCTAGATTCCTTTCCCCTTGGCACTACATCCAGGTTTGTACCAGGTCCTTAGAAGATCCAATAAGAAACCAGGCATAACTCAGGCCACCAGGATGTCACCCAAAGAATTAGAGCAGGATGGGCAAAATGGAGGGGTGCATCTGAACTTTTATGTGATAAGCAAATACCACTTAGACTAGAAGGCAAATTCTATAAAACAGTTGTAAGTCCAGCTGTGTTGTATGGAGCAGATTGTTGGGCAATCAAGAAACATGTCTAGAAAATGAGCGTGACAGAAATGCAAATGTTAAGATGGATGAGTGGAAAAACTAAAAAGAATAGGATCAAGAATGAAGTCATCTATAGAACCTAGGCTTAGCCCTAATAGGTGATAAAATGAGAGAAAGTAGACTAAGATGGTTTGGTCATGTGCATAGAAAACAATCAACAACACCAATTAGAAGTGATTTGTTACAGGTTGAAGGGGCTAGAAGGGCTAAGGGTAGATCAAAAAGGACATGGGTAGAACTGTAGCAGTAACAAATGATTTAGGCACCAATAATTTAACAATGGATATGACTTTAAATAGAACGGATTGGTGAAACAGGATTCATGTAGCCAACCCCAAGATAAGGCATGAACGATGATGATGATGATGATGATCCTTCAAGCTGACTGACAGTGAATGAATAGATGATTAACATTCTCCATATCCTGGTTGCAGAAGTCACAGGAATGATGAGTAATCTGCACACCTCTATTTTGCAAGGAGACCTTGATAATGCACTTCTCCAAGGCAGCTGACCATACCAGGAACCACATTTTGGAAGGAATCAGTGATCTCCCAATCAGATTTGAGGGGAACTGATTGTTGTGGGTTCTGCTTAAGATCTTAGTGAAGGATTTCACAAAGAAGCAACCATTGTTTCTCCCACTTCCAGCACCACTTGTCTTCACAACCCAGCCTTATATTTTGGTTACCCAGCAATTGAAGGAGATCCAGCAGGCCTGCCATCTCCCAGTCAAAAAGCTGCTCCTATGTCCAGGAGCCCACACAACCTGACTACCAATGATTTGGTAGGATTCAGTAGAGCTGCAAATGAATCAGATCTGATCCGATTCAGATTCAATCCGATCCATTAATTGCCGGATTTGGATATCTGTTTAGTCTTAAACGAATTGAAGATGATCGGGTTTTATGATCCGTTAAGTAATCGGATCAGATTCGGTTTGGAGGAACTCTCTCCTACCTCTGCTCATTCAACCCCCAGGAAAGCCTAAACATCTTCCTACTCTTCCAGTTGGTGCCCCCTGCCTTCTTACATAATGCTTTCCCTTTCTCCTTCTAATATCTCTGCTCTATGTACTTCAGGAATCCTAAAGTCTCTGCTTCCATTCTAATAATCAACACCCTAAGCTGATCCAAACATATTGGTTGACCATTCTGATAAAAAAATACATATATATTCGTTGACCGGAATGATAAATTGGTATTTTTGGCAAAGCATGATAACATCATAGCTATCAAGGCGTCGCTAGGTGACAGGATGTCTTTGGTGATGCTTAGTCTGAATGCCTTCACTATGTCAAAAAGACAACTCTCTACACAACTAAACGCTCTCCTAGGCAATAAAATCACAAGGCAACTTATTTTAATATTATAATGGCTGCATCTTCTTAGTATGTGCATTGATGTATTCTAATATATATCACCCATGCTTAGTTTTAAGGTTTTAGCATTGAAATGCAAAATTTCCAAGGGTTTCAAGAAGACGAAAAGAAAGAAAGGAGAAAAGAATAAAGTGGTTTCTTCTTTTTTTTATACAACTACTCACACACACACACAGACATTAAATAAATTAGTGGCGGCATCCCTTGTTCTTTTTCTCTTTTCCCTACTCCTTATCTTGAACTTTTCTTTTATAAAATAATAGCCTTCCTTAGTTGCTAATTTGATATGAAATCATTCTTTTAAATACTTATTATATTATACTATATTGATTTTTGAAAATATTGAAATTAATAGATTTTAAATACTACTATCTTTTAGATATGATGATTTGTCATGTTTTGAGAGGAATTTTAATGTTATTAATAGTGGCTGCATCTTCCAGCTTAGGCGCCTGGTCCCTTGGACAACCTGTAAGGGAGATTATGCAACTAACAAGGGAGCTTGAAGTCAGGTCTAAATGGAGTAGGAGATCAGCCAATGCAATGGCTAATACTTTAGCAAAGCAAGGAGTTAGTTGGCAGAACCTTTTTTGGGCCTGTTTGTAATCTGTGGAGGGGTCACCTTGTTTTTTGAAGGTGACAGTTGTACTAAGTTTCTTAAAGAATTAATGAAAGTTACTGTTTCCAATCAAAAAAAAAAATGAATGTTGATTGATATATAAAACTAGAGAAATAATCTAGAATTTAGTTTTTTATTTTGTAAAATTTCATTGCCTAGGCACTCTACTATTGCTTGCATGCCTTGGCAACTATGGATAACATAGACTTGTTGGTACTTAAGCAAGTTACCTTTCATGATAACGGGCATAATGTTTACAATATTGGTGGTACTTCGCATTTTCTTAATTAATTGTCAATTTATATTTGCCAGAAGGTGGCATAAGGAGGAGAGCTAAAGGGGGCAGTAGTTAATTTATTTGCAGTAGGAACAAAGAGACACGTAAGACACAAGTGAGTGCATGTGGTTCAGATCAAGTTGTAAATGAAGTATCAAAATGATGGAATCAGATTTTTTGTAGCGCAATTCTCAACATTGATTCTCTTTATAATTCACGCTTCTGTATAAAATTCTCTTTTGGTTTATGTAGTTAAGCAATGAATGTGATGAACCTTGCGACAACACTCTTTAAACGAGCTACTCTCAACGATCTGGTCAGAAATGTTCCTGTGTATAGTGGTCTAGTGGTAATGCCTACACTGCTTTTTAGCAAATGGTGCTTGTGATTTGAACGAGGTTTTCACCTTGTTGGTTATTGTTGATCTAAGCATGTCTAACAAACTGATTTAGATGCTTCTGGAGGGGGATTGAGCTTGATGATCAGGCGTTGGGCTACAAAGAAGTCAGCCGGATCGACAAAGAATGGAAGAGACTCAAAGCCAAAGAATCTTGGAGTCAAGAAATTCGGTGGCGAGGTCGATGCCCTACAGTTTTGAGTTCTATCCCTACAGAACCAGTCCCATTTACTCATTCATTGATTTTTACTTTGCAGAGGGTGATACCAGGAAACATCATAGTTCGTCAGCGTGGTACCCGCTTTCATCCAGGAAACTATGTAGGGATGGGGAAGGACCACACCCTCTATGCTCTGAAAGAAGGGTGCGTCAAGTTTGAACGTCACAAACTGAGTGGTCGTAAGTGGGTTCATGTTGAACCCAAGGAAGGGCATGTACTGCATCTTGTCTACACAAAGGTTGATGCCTCTAAGCTGAAGACGGCTATTTGAGTCCCATCATCAGATCATCTCCATGTTCAAACTTCAAGTTAGTGCTGGGCAATGGGTGAAAACTCTGGTGTAGGCTGAAGTGGGATGGTCTTTCTAACTTTTGCTTCGTATCTTAAGGACATTACAGGATTTTCGTTTTTGGGTGGGCCAGAATTCAAAATAAAATATCATAGGTTCTTGTTTTTTTTATATATATAATCTTTTTTTTTTCTTTTTTGTGCTTTTTGTTCATGACTTCATGTCATTAATGTATTGATCAGGAGTCAGGACAGTATTCTGTGCTTTTAATTTTGTTTTGATTTCATTGGTATATGGCCTCAGAGAATTGACTACTGGAGCTTGTTTTAATTATTAATACTTTTTTTTGGTCTAAAGAGCTGGTTTCAATAAGATGTTAATTGATACTTGTAAAAACATGGAAATCTTCCTAAAAATTATAAATCTACAGTGGAATTCAGAAATTTGCAATGGGCATGTTCGTACTTCTCCCTAAAAATTATTATGCATTGTGTCATGTGAACGTGTCATGGGAATTTTCTTACTTTTCGTATTAAAAATTTAATTTTAAAATAATATATATATATATATATATATTAAACCAAAGTTGATCTGAAATATTAGAAAACTGACTAAATCAAGTTGAGTTTGATCGGATTGTTTATTAAAAAGTTAAAATATAAAACAATTATATACTCTTATGTATTTCTATTGTTTAACTCGCTTAAGAAAGCCCATGCATTGCACGGGTCCCTGTCACTATGCCTCTCCTTGCTCCATTATCCCCACCCTACATTCTCTTTGAGTTTCTCTCCTTTCCGCTTCCCACCACTCCCATTAAGCCATGCCACCCAACTACCTAAAAATATTTCAATAATCTTTCTCCTAAGGTATCTTATTTAAACAAATAGGAAAGTATCATGTTGCCTCACTCCCTAATGGTTAATATTTAATCCCGCCCATATTCAATGAATATTAAATAGTGTTATTACCAAAAGTTAATAAATGCGATTAGTAAATTATCAAAAATTAATAAATATTGTTATTAATTAACTCATTAGCAACATTTTATAGAAATTGAAAACTCTTTAACTAATTTCTATAAAATTGAGAATTATATTTAACAATTATCAAAAAGTAAAAAATTTTAGTTATTGTTATTATTATAATTAATAACCAAATACAAATGGGGGAACAAAATATTCTAATGTTAGAAAATTAAATTATTAATTAATTTATATTAAAAAATAAAAGATAAATTAGTGCAATTTTGTTAGTAAACTACCAAATAAAAATATATATTTAATAACAATTTTAAAAAGTTCAATAAATCCCCATATTTACACAAATGTAATAAATTTTTCAAAAAGTTTCATAAAACTACATTTTCATAAAATAACATTTTTGAAATTAATAGATATAAAGTATTTGAAATTTATTTAAAATGCATTAAATAATTATTTAAAATTATTAGAATATTTTGGAAATTTTAGGAAAATTTATTACATTTGATAGATTTTGGAAAACCATTGAAAAATTATGTAATTTTCATTGCAAATTATTGAAAAATATTAAAGATAAATGACTATGGGAAATGGAAAACTATAATTTGAACAAATAATTACACAAATTATTAAGATAAATTAGTATAATATTGGAAAAAGGAAATTATTGGTTAGTTTATATTAGAAATTATAAGATAAATTAGTATAATTCTATAAGTAAACCATTTAAAAAGAAAATAAATTATTTAATAAAAATTTAAATAATTACACAAGTACAATAAATTTTCCAAAATTTTCATAAAATTACATTTTTGAATATTAAGGACAATTTAGTGTACTTTTAGAAATTTACCATGTAGTTGATACTCAATATATCATTTTGATCATTTCTACCATCAAATTGAATATTGGGTTGACGAGCACAATGTTTTCAAAACTGGATCAAACCAGATGGTTAGACCGGAAAAATTGGGAACCAAACACCATTTCACCTCAAAACCACTTTTTGTCCAAAAACCGTTTATTTGGTTAGCGAACCAATGACCTGGGTGATCGAACTGTCAACCCGGACAATAGTTTTTTGGCATTTTTTTGTTTTTCTAACTTTTTATTTTTTTTGTAAGAGCGGGTCATCCGTTTGGACCGAACGGGGAGTGAGTGCCTTGCCTTGAGTTTGGCTTGGTGTGCAGCATGGCCTAACCCAAGGCCTGATCCATAGCATGACATGGGCCCGTGCAGGCTCAGGCCGTGCCGAACCGACCCCCCCCCCCCAAATTATCCTAGAGGAGGGAGGCACGGCCCGGGATGCCTCATGGGCCAGCAAGGCACAACTCGCACTTTGCGCAAGCCACATACGGGTCGTGTCATGCCGACCCAATTTACACATCTACTTGAACCCACCCAATACTGGGGACAGGGCAGGAAAATTCGAGGATTCTCCATCATTGATGAGGAGTGGGGTGCCTTGCCCCTGAACTCACCCGACATTGAGGAGTGGTTACCTTGCCCTGAACCCGTGTGACACTGGGGACGAGGCGGGGATGAGGTAGAGTGTCTTGACTATGGGGTAGGGAAAGAGATGGAGTGCCCTACCCTAAAACCACCCTATTGTTATTCCTATATAATTGTTAATTATTAGTAGAGTTAATAAAAATGTTAGCTTTTATAATTATTTTTATTTATTTAAAGTTAATCAAAATTTCATTTAAAAATAAAAAAAGAATAAAAATATTAAAATTACTACAAATTATTAATAAAACTAAATTTATTAAAAATATTTTTTATATTCAATTAACAATAATTATTTTTTATAAATCAACATTAAATGAAAAATAATTATTAAGTCTTTCAGATTTTCCCATGCATCGCACGGGTCCCTGCTAGTAAATTATTAAAATGTATGTTTCTTATATGTTTATATTTGTTTAAACCTTATTGATGAATTTAGGATTTATCAATTTCCCCAATTTATTTTCTCCATCTTAATTTTTTCATCATATCCATACATATCCAAAGTATATCTCAATACATCTATTAAAATTTTCTTTCCATACACCTACAATATCATTCTATGAATGTAAGATGCCAAATTTTCATGAGAGTAGTTCTTTGAGTTTCCCGTATGCAATTTTTCTTTTAACATTGGACATTAGATTTATGGAAGTCTGTGAGTTAATTAGTAGAAGCCTTACAATAATTCTTCAAGTATATGCTATAAACTTTTCCCTAGTATACCTTTTAGTACAGTCCTAGGTGGTGGACAATGCAATGAATGAAACATTGCCAATAATGAACATGGGGTTGCTCATATAAAAAGATAGAAAAAGAAAAGGTATTAAAGGTGAACAATGCCACAAGTTCTTGACATATATCTCATGTACATAAGTCTTGGATAGATAAATCTATCTACCAGTTAGTCACTTAATGGGTCCATGTAGCAAGGATTAGCATAATTGATAAGGTTATCTCAATCATACATTTCTTTCAATTGAATGGTTAGATCAGAGACCTAAAAGAAGATAGATGAAAGATGAAGCTCAAGGCAGGCCTCAATTGCTTGTCAGGTCAGATGGTAAGCCCAGCCTGGTGCATTCCTTCTGCTGAAGGAGAGAGAGAAGGCATCCCTGAATACAACAGAAAACTTCTACCTTAGTGGGTGTCTCACATGGGTTCACAGTCAATGACTTCTCAAGAAGGGTTATCTCCATGTGCATCTCCTTGCTATTGCATTGAGCATTCCTCCAAGCCTGACAATTGCTTCCCCATTTTTTATTCCCCCAATTTCAGGTGAAACCATCCACACTTAAATTTCAGTAGTTCAAAGAAGATAACATTCAGGAAGTTACGGACGATTAATTTCTTCCCCTAATTGCTTATGCTGAAACCCTCAAACTTTCCCATGAGAAGAAAGTACCATGGTCAACATGGAGGCTTTTAGACCTACCAACTCATCTATGATGTATAAAATTCTTAGGTCATGTCTAGATTCCTTTCTACAGTGTGAAGACTCTCTCTTAGTCCTTTCTTTTTCATTTTTCGGGCTGTCTGGCTGGCGGGTTCTCTAGTAGCTTAGTGGGAGAATATGGGTTTGAACTTTAGTTAGAGGTGACAAGCAAACGTAGACTTTACCAACTACAACTTTTGATTTGGGCACCCTTCTCAGTTCTCACAAAGAGAGAGAGAGAGAGAGAGGATTTGGGCAAAGTTGAGTGTGCCCAAATCGCTACCCTTCTTCTAAATCCATCTTCAATTGAAAATCTCAAAGGGAAAAGGTGAATTGAAAATCGCTACCCTTCTTTTGATCTCATAGGGAAAAGGTGATTTGAAAAGCAAAACAGAAATAATTATGAGAACCATGCATCATGCAGCATAAACCTTTTGATCTCTTCTTTTGGTTTAACAATTGAGGCACTAGCTTTTGATCATAGGTATTATATCCACAAAAACCAAAAGCCGATACCGAACACCCTCTATCAAGATATTTGCTTTTTTAATTGGAGGTTGCCACACAGCATCTCATCCAGGATTTTTGGTTTTTCTATTAAAAGAATCCCACTTGATTATTCTCCAAAAACACTTTTTATTCTTAGCTTTCTCACTTTTAAATGGTAAACACCCTGAATTGAAAGATGCAGTCAATGTCTCAAATTTCATTGAAAAAGAGATCAGTCTTGCCTTGTCTTCTTCATTAACCTAAAAAGATTCCAGTGCCCCCAGCAGAGATTTGGGAAAAGGGGGAGAAAGTGGAGACTTTTTTTTTATCCCTTGATGACCCTCTCTTTCAACTATGATCTTGAATACTTGATTCTAGTGAAAAATGTACGTAGATCAATTCATTGTTGCTCATGAGTCATGATTGCTAATTGGACATAGCTGTTTGGAGCTACATGACATGTCAACGACAGGGGTAATGGAATAATTGGTTCATGTGCTGAATGGGCCAAGATGGACCCATTTTGATGAATTGGACAGAGGAAGTGTGAAAGAATTTGATTAAACCAACCCATCAAATTGCTCCATTTTCCTCTAGGTGGAGCACATTCCACCATTTCAATCATACCCATGGGAATAATAACCGTCTGATCAACATCTGTAATCTCTCAAGCTTGGGCAGTGGGCCCTGTCCGGCTCACTCTAGAAACACCCCTAGCCACAAACTAGGCATGATAATCATTGAAATATAGTTATTTATTTTTAAATTAATTTTATTAAAGTAGAATAAGCTATAACAAAAACTCTCATATCTTAATCTTCTCTATTCATTAGAAAATGACCCCGTACTAAGTACTGGGTAATTAAATATAATTTAATTTGAAGTTTACTATTTAGTT